CGGATGACGCTCGTACGACGGCCCGGTATACTCCCGGATGAAGGCGAGTTCGGTCGGAGGAGGCGGCTGAGTGCGGCCGGATGAAGACCGAGTTGCGGCCGGATGAAGACCGAGTTGCGGCCTGATGAAGACCGAGTTACGGCCAGGTGGCCGGTTACTTAGAGCAGCTGGAAGGCGTCCGGGCGGTGGCCCGGTGGCGGCTGAGTTGCAGCCCGTCGGAAGACGGATTATGACCGGGGTTCGATCGTACGATAGGTGTGGTGATCCCGCAAAAGTACGGCTTATCACTATGCACGTGGTTACTGATAGCCGGGTGATCGTCACTTTTTCCCACGGTTCGAGATTTTTCTCAAGCAATAGCAGTCTGCTCGCTGGACGACGCACGTCTTGCGACTTCGGTGGTTGGCTCTAAACTTCCCCAGCCTCCGTTATCTGCTCACTCTCCTCCATCGTGGGCTCCGTCACTCTCTCCAGGGAGAGTTTCCGCCCACACTCTCTTCGAGTTCAGTGGATATCGCCACCACCCACCTGCACTCATCGTTTAGCTGTTCGATCGTCTGACCACTTATGCCACCCAACAATGAATTCAAATTGACCGTTGCCGATTAAATAATTTCCCTAATATAAATACAGCTATATCCCGTGTACTAAACATATGAAAACAATGTTACCCGCCGGTAACATCGTGCTGAGCACCAATGCTACCGACGCCAGGGAGTCCCACACCTGGACCCTACCCCTATCGACCCATCAACTCATGAACCGGGGACCAACGGCTTTACTTCCCTTCCGAAGGAAGGCGTGTTCAGAGATGTTATGCCTCAGAACATCCTGGCTGCGCCAACTGGGATTGAACCCTGGCCTGCTGGGGTGAGAGGCAATCACTAAACCACCGGCACCACTAATGACAAGCCTTTCGTCGAAGAGAATGCAGCCCGGCACCGTGATTAGCGATTTACGGCGATGGTGGAAACGAAGAAGTTCTCGATTTCCGTCGCTGGCCAGGGAATTTGACCAGCCTTCCTGGACGTACCGGTAGACCTTCTTGAGCACCGGATGCGTCTTGGTGCTTTGTTGTACTGTGTCAAAACTCAAAGGAAACTCATTAAAAGAATCACGCACTACTGACCTAATGTCACTCTCCAAGGTGACGGAAGCGATCACGAAGTCTTCGTCAGGTTTCACATGGTGGTTGATGAGACGAGAAAGGATATCAGCATGACCAAATTTGTCCGTGACTACGTACTCCATGACGAAGCGTTGCAGATGGTTGGCAGTATACACTGGAATGCCCTTTTTTCTCCCGAAGATTAGAAGTAGTGGTTGACGGTCGGTTTGGAGGAGGAACTTGCGTCCGAATATCATGCGGTGGAACTTGGTTACCGCATATATGATGGCCAATCCTTCACGGTCAGTTTGACTGTAGTTGCGCGTGGCTGGTACCAAGGCTCTCGAAGCATGCTGGACGACTTTGATTGTACCATCGGGAAAACCGTCACTGATGGTCGCTCCCAGATAACGCATCGGCCGAAACGATGATCTCTTGCTTAGGATTATAATGGGTCAGGAGCAAGTCCGACGACAAGATGGTTTTGAACTAGTCGAACGCCCTCTGACACTCCGCTGTCCAAGCGAATTTGACTCTCCGTCTTCAGCAGTTCGTCCAGTGGGTAGCGTAGAGCTCGCATTTTCGGTATGAATTTCCCGTAGAAGTTTACGGCTCTGAGAAACGACCAAACTCCCGACACATCCGTGGGTGCCGGCATGAGCTTGATGGCTTCGATCTTGGGTGGATCGGAACGAACTGCATGGTGATCGAGTAAGTGTCCAAGATATTTAATCTGAAAGAGCACTTCTCGAATCGGACTGCGAAGCCGAACTCTTGCAGACGCTGGAAAAGTGCGTTCAGGTTCCGCCAATGCTGTTCCTCATCTTCTCCGCCGACTACGATGTCATCGATGTAACCGCAAGTGTGCTTAAGACCCGCCAACATGGTGTCAACGAGTTGCTGGAACGCTCCCGGCGCAGTTTTTACTCCGGGTGCCAGTCGGTTGACTTTGTAGATGCCCCGGTGGGTGTTGATTGCGGGGAGCTTACTCGATGATTCATCGACTTCAAGCTGCAGGTACGATTCTGACATGTCGATGATGCTGAATGTCTTGCGGCAACGGCAACGGGTATTGGTGCGGCTGGAGAGCGTCGTTCAAGCCCGTGGAATAATCACCGCAAATCCGAACACTGCCGTTTGCCTTCCGAACCACCACAATCGGAGCAGCCCACTCCGAATAGTCGATTGGTGTGATGATCCGCAAGCGCTCTAGACAGTCAAGCTCATCATCGACAGCCTGGTACATGGCGTAGGCCACGTTGCTTTCGTAAACCGTCCTACGATGGATGAAGAGGAATTGCTGACCTGTCGACAGAAGACGTTCGTCGGAACGGAGTCGAGCTGGAATGCTTCCACCAAATCCAGACCCAGGATGTGTAGATCTTGCGCGACGACGTAGATCGTTCCCACTTGCGTTACGCTATGGACGGTGATCGAGCCACCGAGCTACGATAGTAACTTCAGAGGATTGCCCGATGCGGTTTTCGCGTTCACTGACGGTGATCTGGTTGGTGGTTTTCCTAGCTGCTTCCAAGTCTCGGATGATACGACGGTGATGTCAGAGGCAGAGTCGAACTACAGTCGAACCAAAACACCGGAACAAACTTTCGTCTCCCTCGTACGTTGTTCACAGCGATTTGGACAGTCTTCGTATCTACAGTCACTGTTCTCGTTCGTCTCTTCATCCTCTTCCGAGGGGACTTTCGATCACTTTCACAGTGACTTTCTTTGTGTCCATATTGGTTACATTTAGCGCACTTATGGTCTTTGTACTCACAGTCTCTTGTGTAGTGCATCGATCCGCACTTCCAACAGGGACTTGGTCGCACTTTTTTTTCACTCACTGCACTACGCGACGACGATGAAGCACTGAAATGCTAATGCCGCTAATGTTCGTTGCTGCTTCCGGAGCTGCTGCTTGATGGCGTTCACTGTGTTATTGGGTCGCTCGATCATCGCAGTGTCATGCGGAAGATTCAAAAGGCGTTGGCTGCTCAAGTGGGACATCCGTCTTCTCCTCGATGCGCGCCATCAACCGGGTTCGGATCTCTGCATCTGACGCCGACTTCAAACCGCAGATGAATATCAGAGCCTTAAATTGCTCTTCCGAGAGATTTCCCAGCTCGAACTCAATGCATGTTTTGTTGATTCGGCAGGTGTAGGTGACGAAATCCTCGGTCGGCCCTTTTGCTACTTGAAGGCATCGATAGCGTTTGCTGATGATCGATTCCGCTGCTCCAAAAAGGCCTTTGAGCTTACCTACGGTCTCTTCGAAGGTGAAATCCTTGGATGTTTTCGGCAGTATGAAGCTGCAATACTGCTCGTGCTCCGCGATGCCAAATTTCCGCATCAATAGCGGCGTCGTACCTGAACTCCTTGACGTTACTCGCCAGTGAGTCGAGAATCGCTTCGGGATTCGACGGTACCTGCTCTTGGATGTTTCGGAAGGCATTTTGCTGCTGCTCGTTGGCTTGCTGCTGGCTTTGGATGAGCTGATTCGTCACGAGCTGTTGTTGCTGAAGCTGATGCAGGTTCTGAAGGATGAGCGCATCGGTCGGTATCTGTGCTGGATTTGGCGTCGGCAGATTGTTTTGACCGGGGCCTGGCATCTCCTGATCTTCGTCCACCGGCATAGACAGCTTGCTAAAAACTACCACAGTTAATAACTTGAGTTTGATAAAAGCTTATTTTATGGATATGTGTGGTGAAAATACCTGGGAATGTATTTACATAGCCGTGGGGATACAAAGAGAAAGTCGACGAAGAGAATCTGCCAATGTTACTTAGGACCTAATGCAATGTGCAGCTTGAGTTGAGAGCTGGAAAAACGCTCGCTACAGAAATGTCTAGAAGAAGTCTGTTAAAATGATGGTCTTTTGAGAACGGTTTTGTTGACGAGATAATGCATTTGTACTTATCGAAACCATTTAGTAACGCGTCCCAGACTACGTCACTGCTTTCTTATCTACCACATTGGTTTTTAATAATGAATGTGATCCTTGAAATCATTGCATCGCGATTCTAATTGTTCTATAGATCCAGTGCTAGTTAAAGTTCGGCTTGAATGCCAATTCTGATCGTCGGTAAAATTTGACCATGGTTGACAGCAAATTTCAATACCCGGAAGACGCAACTCTGACGGCAGTGGTGCCAGTCAGTCCAACATTGTCTAAGCACTCTGATCAGCGTTGATAACAGTAAAGAGATGTTAAATTTCGAAAGCAAAACCTTCCTTCAGCCGGTTCTAATTGGCGCTGCATTACGATACATAGCATAAAAATGTTCCTCAACATTATACTACATTGGATTAACCGCGAAACTTCTCTACCAAGTTTTGAAGCGCGCTGAACCGGTCTGGGGACAATAATTCAAACAACAGCAGTAACAATTAAGGTGGAAATTGTTTGAAATAATTACCCCTCGGCGGCCGCTCCACCGACCGCAGCGCGCGAAGCTATTCACACCCGAGTGAACGCCCCCCTTGCCCCCCCCCTTCAGCCCTACCCCGACGACCGCCACCGCTGCAGTTTCATGTTCTCAGAAGTGCATTGCTAGACACGCACGCATCCAACCGAACCCCAGCACCTACCCAGTACTCAGCGTGTAGATGTTATAAGTTATGAACTTGTGCATAATAATAAAAACACGGACTTCCATCACCAGCAGAGGCTTTAGCGAAAACATGCATATGCCATTTAAATGCTCGTTATCAGCGGATATAGATCGCTCGTTTCTCCCAGGTTGAATGTCTGAAAAATGCGAAAAAATAGCTATAAACGTTTATTTCTACATACATACGTGGCCGCAACCGCACCGGTCAGATTAATTTAGTCGTAATTCACCGGAGGAAAGTGTAATTAAATGGCTTTTTCCTTTCTCGACTCTTTTCCAGAACCAAATGGAAGCGGCAGACGGCCGTGGGGTTGGAGCTGCTAGCGGAAGCCGGAAATTACGCCGCTTTCCAGCGATTGTACGGTGGACCGGCGTACCTCGGCGGTTGGCCATACCCGGCCCAGGCTGGACCTCCAGGGGCTCCTCAGAGTGCGGTGGACGCTTACTATCGGCATGCCGCGGCGGCTGCCGCTCTGCAGAAACCCCTCCCGTACCGGATCTACCCGGGCGTCCCGGGACTGGGAACGCTCAACACCATTCCGGGTCCAAGCGCACCGTTCCCGCACCTGTCAGCGTCCTCGTCGTTATCCACGCTCAGCAGCTACTACCAGGCTAGCAGTCAACAGGCGGCGGTGGCGGCTGCAGCTGCTGCCGCTTCCCACAACTCTCCCGGTGGCGCCGGAAGTCCCAACAACGGAAGCGCGGGCATCCAAAACAGCGCCGGTGGCATCCATAACAATAACAACAACAACAACAACATCCACGGCAGCACCAGTAGTCTAAGTAGTCAACCCCGGCGGTCACCGAGTCCAACGCTGAATCCGGGCAGTCCACCGGGGCGATCCGAGAGCAATCCGCCCAGTGACGACGAAGACGAAAACATACAGGTCTGAGAGCCCAGTGTGATCCCCGATGAAAAACACTCATATACGTATATATAGAGATAGCAGTGTAAGGAAAGAAAATAGTGATTATTATTTTTAATAGCATTTATTTAAAGCAGATATTATTTTTTTAAAAAGAGGGAATAATTAGCGAAATGAAAAGAGGCGTCGAATCGCGGGGAAGGGGCAAAGGTGACGGATGGAACGGGGAGGCGTTTGCGCCCCAAAAAGGTGAAAACAAGATGTCAGCACCTTCGGATCGTGCGAAATTTACACAAAATAGGCGCGTGAAGTCGGAAAAATAACACCACCGTCCGTGGCGAGAAAAATAAAACACAAAGCATAACACCGAAGGGGACCCCGTCTCGTTTATAACTGTTTTGTTTTGGTTTAAATTAATTTGCGGTACATAAATAAATAGAGAAAAGCGACGCGGTTCGTTGCGCGTCCGTCCGTTCGCTTCTGTTTATATTGAGCCAAAGATCAACAAAAAGTGAACTGCGCGTGATTTGCGACCCCAAAACTGTCAAATAGCCCACTGGTTTCCACCGCCCCGCAAACATCACCCCGTCCGTCACCGGTGGTCCATTCCCATCAATTCGTCGCCAATTTCCGTGTGAGTGTAAATATCAAAGCAAGCCGATTGAAGGTAACGAAGTAACAGCATAGAAGCAAAGCCTACTCTTGATAGTGATTCTGTTTTGATTTTTTCTTAGCCTGTGAAGCTCCAAAATTGACAGTCTCTGTGTGCGTCGCCATCGTTGTCGTCGTCAATGTCGTCAAGTGAAAAATCGGGGAAAACGGTTAGTTTTTGTGTTTTGTTGTTGTGTAGATAATGGTCATATATAAAGTGAATCACCGCCACCGCAGGCAAGGGGAACCCAGTGAGACGCGACGACGACGACGACAACGACGACAGTGCGCGATGAGAACGAGAAATTTATTAACTTTAGTCTTAATTTATGATCATTAGCGTCTGGAAATAATTATTTAATTATTTTATAAGTGAAGAATGCTGTAAAACTCGTCCCTCTCCGAGGGAATAAATCCATTGTTTATTCATCAACAGTTGTAGGATCCGTTTGTTTGCGCTTCGACTGATGATTGACACAGGCACAGTGATTGCTCAACCTCTCGGAACTCGGGAAAACAAAGTGATCGAATGTACTTACCCACTAATTGAAAACAAACACAAACCAGATACTTAACCAGTGACGACGGAACTGCAGCAAAGTTCCGCTAAGTAACCGATTTGCCAAAACGAATAGGAAGACAAACACACTCACATTAAAAAGAAAAACAGATTTGTAAAGAGAACCAGTATTAGGAAAGTGGAAAGTGCAAGACAGAACTCGTTGTTCTTAGAAAAACACAACCACAAACACGATTGCTTCATCCTAAGTTTTACACTGCAACCCGTGAAAAAAAGATGTTTTTAACCCCTCCAACGTGGATAGATCCTTCTCATTGTTTGTCCCTTTCCCATTATCCGTCACAACCGGAGGAGATGAATGCTTGAAAAAGATAGTTAGTTATTGAAAGTTGTACATATTGATTATATAAATATGAAATTATCCCGTCTACTTGTAAGTGACACACACCCACACACAGACACTCGGTAGAAGCCTCAACATTCCCGTCTAAAAGAAAAAAAAACTTTGAAAAAGTAACATGTGAAAAATGTGAAATATTTAACTGAGAGATAAAAAATGCTGGGAATCGGGAAACGTGTGAGTCTTGCGTTTAACAACCTCTATTAATTTATCACGGATTCATATGGTCGATCAGCTGCGACTCAGTCAGTCAGTCAGCTAAAAACTGTAAAGCTCGTACACCTAACTGGAAAGCATTACCGGAAATAAACATGAAAATTTTATTGAAAATCAAACTTCTGCTTATGCCGCTGCTACACTGAAAGAAATCCACCATTGGCAATTCGCTTGCTTGGCAGTTGATGACAGTAGGAGTAGAGTCCTCTAAGGCTGTGTTCCATTTGGTGAATTTGCACTTAAATTTGGCAGATGGAAAATTTTCAAACAAACCTCCTATTCGATCAGGTTTGTTTCTGACCGACAAGGATTCAATTTTGATAAATACCTTTTCGAAAATCAAACTACACAGATAAAAATTCTGAATTTTAATTGTGATGTAAACATTCATTAACGTAGACTTGTATTTCATTTCACGCAACCGAGCAACATGCAAACAATGTTGTTTACAAAGATGGGATTTTGTATACAATATTTGCTACATTGCATGAAATGTGTCAGAACTTTACATGATTTATAATGTAAACGTATATGTTATGTGACGCTCCATTTATGTGCATCATACTGAACGGAAATTTACACTTCTTTTTCGAACTGTGTATCAACAACAGAGGGATTTTCAAACATAAGAATTTATTTTCGAAGTCTCCAATTTAAGCTCCGCAACCCTGCTGAGATACAGAAGCGGTTTCACATTGTCTCACGATTGTTTTCAATATTCTCATTGCAAAAGTGTAAATAAAATCGCGAGTGATCAAAGCACATACATTGAAAGTGTTAAAGATCACGAAAAGTGTATTAAGGATCAAAAACATGAGTGAACTTAACATCAATACGATGCAGATGGAGGATGATAGAGAAGAGGCAATTATGGAACGCAGTTCGATAGAGGATATTCCTTCTTGCTCTTCGTCTATTTTGGATACTCCGGTTGGAGACGGCGACGGTTTTGAAGACGACGACGACTTCGAAGATGGGATAAATATCACCATACTGTCAACAACTAATACTTTCCCCGAAAATCCACCTACAGTTGCTACTGAGACTGATTCTACTGAGCAATCAAGTTCATTGGGAAACGACTCGGGAAACGGTAAGAATACAAAGTTAAGTGGTGCTGCTAGGAAACGCTATAAGCGAATGATAAACGACGGAATGAATGTAGAAGAAGCTTATCGTCGCGCTCGAATTCCTATGCAGACACCGAATCCTGATCTTCAAAAAAGATCGCGTAGTGCTGAACTTAGTTGTTCAAGTAGTAGTGGAGGTAATCCTCGTCCAAGCAAAATCCATTGTAAGTTTTCGGAACCGAAGCCTGGTTCAAACCGCCCTGATCTGGGAAAGGCCTCGGTTCAAAATCGATTGATTGTCAATCAGAAGGATAGCTCTGAACGTGTTGAAAATACACGGAAATATACTAGACCTCTTTATCGTGATGTGGTGAATAGTGTTAAGCTAGGAGTCATTCCGGAAAACTACCCTAACGTTGAATTATCCACACAACAGTTGGTAGCCATACGCAAGGCTATCCTTACAAAAGTTTTGCAGCAACGGAAGGAGAACTTACTTACCAATCAGGCTAAGGCCTTGTTGTCCTCTGCTGTCCGAAGAAGTCGTCTCCACTCTACTCGATCCATGGCCACAGTTCGCCAGCCTCGTAGTCTGCGAAGGGTCCGCAGGTCACCTTCTACTTGGTTGATCCACCTTGCCCGCTGCGCGCCTCTTCTTCTTGTTCCTGTTGGGTCGCTTTCTAGAACCATTTTCACTGGGTCGTCGTGCGGCATTCTTTCGACGTGCCCAGCCCACCGTAGTCGCCCAATTTTTACAATGTGGACGGTGGATGGTTCTCCCAGCAGCTGGTGCAATTCGTGGTTCATTCGCCTCCTCCACGTTCCATCATCCATCTGCACTCCACCGTAGATGGTACGCAACACCTTCCGTTCGAAAACACCAAGGGCATAGTCCAGGTCTCGTGGCCGTAGAGGACCACCGGTCTAATCAGCGTCTTGTAGACAGTCAACTTCGTGCGGCGGTGAATTTTATTCGACCGGAGCGTCCTCCGGAGTCCTAAGTAGGCACGATTCCCTGCCATAATGCGTCTTTGAATTTCTCTGCTGGTATAATTTTCGGCGGTCACCAGTGAGTCCAAATACACGAACTCATCGACCACCTCGATTTCGTCACCGTCAATCTGACCTCGGGGTGGGAGGCTAACATTGTCTTCCTTAGAACCTCTTCCTCTCATGTATTTCGTCTTCGATGCGTTGATGGCAAGTCCAATCCGCCTAGCTTCAGACTTCAGTCTGATGTACGTTTCCGCCATCGTCTCAAAGTTCCGTGCCATAATGTCAATGTCATCGGCGAAACCAAGGAGCTGGATGGACTTCCTGAATATCGTGCCACTCGTGTCTATCCCAGCTCTTCTGATCACACCTTCTAACGCGATGTTGAACAGCAGACACGAAAGTCCATCACCCTGCCGTAACCCCCTTCGAGATTCAAAGGGACTCGAGAGTGTCCCCGATACTCGAACAACGCACATCACTCGATCCATCGTCGCCTTGACCAATCGTGTCAGTTTATCCGGAAATCCGTACTCGTGCATAATCTGCCATAGCTGATCTCGATCGATTGTGTCGTATGGGGATTTGAAATCGATGAACAAATGATGTGCGGGCACGTTGTATTCGCGGCATTTCTGCAGAACCTGCCGAATCGCGAAAATTTGGTCCGTGGTAGCGCGGGCACCCATGAATCCCGCCTGGTATTGCCCCACGAGCTCTCTTGCATATGGTGACAGACGGCGGCATAGAATTTGGGAGAGTACCTTGTAGGCGGCGCTCAGCAGTGTGATCGCGCGGTAGTTGAATATTGGGCATACGACACCTTCCATCCACTCCTCCGGTAATATCTTCTCCTCCCAAATCTTGGCAATTACCCAGTGCAGCGCTCTAGCCAGTGCTTCACCACCGTATTTTAATAGCTCACTTGGTAGTTGATCTACACCAATTGCTTTGTTGTTCTTCAGCTGACCGATCTCCTCCTCAACTTCTTGAAGATCAGGGGCCGGTAGCCTGTCGTCTTCTGCGCGTGCTCCAAGGTCTGTTGCCGTGCCACCTTCGTTTTCTGCTGCTTCACCGTTGAGGTGCTCGTCATAGTACTGCTTCCACCTCTCAATCATCTCACACTCGTTCGTGAGAAAGTTGCCGTCCAAGTCCTTGCACATATCGGCTTGCGGCACGTAGCCTTTGCGCGAACTATTTAGCTTCTCGTAGGACTTCCGTGTGTCGTTTACGCGGTATAGATTTTCCATCGCCTCGCGATCTTGGTCTTCCTGCTGACGCTTCTTCCTTCGGAAAACCGAGTTTTGTCTGTTCCGCGCTTGTCTGTATCGCTCCACATTCAATCTCGTGCGGTGTTGCAGCATTCTCGCCCGTGCTGCATTCTTCTCCTCTACTAACAGTTTGCATTCGCCGTCAAACCAGTCATTTCTTCGCTCTGGGATTGCAGTACCTAGTGCCGCTGCAGCAGTACTACCTATGGCTGAACGGATGTCCCTCCAGCCATCTTCAAGAGAAGCTGCGCCAAGCTGCTCTTCCGTGGGTAGTGCAACTTCCAGCTGCTGCGCGTAGTCCTGGGCAACACCGGCGTCCCATAGTTGCTCAATGTTGGGTCGCGGCGTTCGACTTCGACGTGTGTTATGCACCGTCGAGAGTTTTGAGCGCATGCATACTGCAACTAGGTAGTGG